ATATGGTCTTATATAGGGTATTTACATAGTATAGATTTACAAGCAAAGCCTCACCTCCTGGTAGATGCCTCCTCCCCTACACTTCTGAGGCTTCTAGTCTTTTCTATCACATCTTCAGCCCCTGAGTAAAACTGGTCCTTGTTTATCAAACCATCCTTACTTTAGTGATATTTTCATACTTCATCTACTAATTACAGCAGATAATGTGATAAAATAAATACTGTATTTGTGGGCTCCATATTTTGGATTATTTTCTATATTTAAGATGACTAAGCTTGTTTCCTAAGGGATCTCTATACTTTAAAATTTTTTCTAGTGATATTTCAAGTCTTGAGATCTACTTTTCTTTTGTCTTTTTAAAGACAGCATCTTTTTATGTTACCTAGGACAGCCCAAAAACGTACTATGTGTGAACTCAGAATTCTCCTCTCTCAGCCTCCCTAATACTAGGACTCAAGAGTATGCTCCACACTGGTACTGTCACCTGGCTAAGCACAGTGACTGAGGCTGTGCTTTATTGACTTAAAATCTGTTTTTGCATAAATAGATTCTTATGCTTATACTTTTGAGTTTTTACATCTTTTATCTTCAAGTTCACTGTGTCTTTGTGTATGTGCATGTTGGCAATTGCATGTGTGTATGTACATGTATGTGAGTGTGCATGTTTGTGAGAGTGGATGAGTGTGCATGTTTGTGCACATGTGTATGTGTATGTATGTGTGTGCATGTGTAAGCATATATGTGTAGTACTGGATACTAAAATCAGAGATTTTAATAGGCAAGTTCTGTACCACAGAACTCTGTCTTCAGCCCTAAATTCAAATATTTGAAAACATTGTTTATTCCATTCATTAATGTCTTTTGGGAAATGTTTTAATGTAATAAAAGTATATGTGCATGTATATATATATATATATAATGTAGAATACTTACAATATTAAATTACTAACCTCAGAGAGCTGTGTCACATCTTGTGTATATACATGTATATGTGCATTGTGTAGTTCTTCCAGATCACACGTTTATAAATATTTCTTTCATCAAACATTTCTTGGGACCTGCAGAGATGGCTTAGTGCTTAACAGCACTGACTGCTTTTCCAAAAGACCTTGGTTCAAGTCCCAGTATCCACAGGTGACTTATAACTATCAATAACTCCAGTCCCAGGGAGTCCACTGTCCTCTTCTGGCCTCCTTGGGCACCAGACACTCACACGGTACACAGACTTACATGAAATTAAAAAAGTAAATCATTTCTGAAATCCCCTTGCTCTATTCTTTCTCCTGGGTTTGGAGTGATGGTTACAGGGAGGCTGAGACTATGCGTTTGTGATTCTATTGGCCACTGGAATGTGTTCTGTGAATTTCCTGTCCCTGACCTCTGCCACTGCTTGTCAGACTGGCTTCTTGATTTGCTGGCTGTCTCCACATGTCCTCAGTCACAATCCACTGTCTGCTATAGATCTTCCAAATATTGCCTCCGAGTCTGCTGTTGCCTTTTGAACTCTGCTCATATCATCTCTGTGACTACATTTTTGTAGTTATATTTATCAATCTTTTAACTCTATGCCAAGGGTCAGCATTCTTTCTGTAGATGACCAGATAGTAAATACTTCTGGCTTTGCAAGTAATGCAGTCTGTGTGACTGAGTATTCGATGCCACTGTTGTAGCATAAAAGCAGTCACAGACCATATGAAAGCAAATAGATGGGCTGTGTCCCAATAAAACTTTGTGGGTTTTTTAGACGAAAAGAGATGGCACTGCAGATTTAACCCACAAGCAGTAGTTAGCCAGCTCAGCTCTATGTATTTTAGTTTATTTTAAAGGCCCTCCCTAGCCTGAGGCCATAAACTATTCTTTAGTCCCTTCCAAAAATTACATATATTTTCATACATAGGCTTATAAGCTCTTAGGATTGATTTTCATGACTGATAGCGGGTATGGAATCTACTTTTTCCTCAATGAATAGTCAATTGTTTCTCTCTAATTTATTGTTCCACTGATAGGAACTGTCACCTTTATTTGTTGGCCCCAGTACTTACTATGGGCCTAGCCAATATATAGATTTATTTGTAGACTGGCATTCCGGTTTCTCAGCTTTCTGCATGTGGCTATCACAGAATTTTACTGTTTACTATAAACAGTAATATATATATATATATGGATATACTAAATAGTAAAATTGTGTGATACATATATATGCATATACACACAAGCATATTTATATATTTTGAGAGCAATAGCCTATGTGATGGAACATACCTGCAATCCTAGCACTTATGAGACAGAGGCAGGGAGTTCAAGACCATACTGGGCCACACAGTAAGTTAGAGGGGAGCATGGGTTACATGAGACACTATCCCCGAAACCTGACATACTGATAGTATTTTTTGATATCCAGGGTTTTGCCAACCACTGATCTACATATTCAGTTCTTGGTAATTCTATTTTCAATATGGATTTCACAATTGCCTTCTTAAATTCTATGAAAAAATCTTATTGGGATTTTAACCATGAGTACATTTAAGAATTATCAATTCATTTGCAAAGAACTGACATCTTGGCAACATTTGATTGTGTCTGCCAGGATCCTAGCAAATGTCTCCGTTTATGTGGGAACCCTCTTGGTACTCAAGAAGCTGTAGAATCCTTAGGAGAAAGGGAATTGGTTGCTCTGTTTTGTCTGTCTTGACTGACAGATTAACTTTGCACTGGCCTCAAACTTTCCTTCCTGTTTTCTAGAATCTTCTGGAAAATCAGTGACACGTTGATGTGTGAGAAAGGATTTTGTGGTACTAGGGAACACTCTGAAGCCAAGAAACAGTTTCCTTTAGTACCTGTGATTCCTGACTCCTTTGGAATCTTCTAAGAACTCAATATAAATTTCTTTTTGTGTGGAGGGAACCACACTAGGCACTTGAGAGGATACAACTATGCATACATTGCCATACAAGCTAAACATGGGACTTGAAGAACTTTGAACAAAGATTTGACTAGTGGACTCTTGAGCTTGCATTAGCAACTAGGGCACAGAGAGAATGGCTTAGTCTTTGGGAACAAGTGTCTAGTAGGGGATTAGGTGCCCAGGGTGGGTGTCTTGAGCATGTAGCCATCCTCTAAAAGAAGTGCCCAGGTTAGGCAGCAGGATGGCTTAATGGATAAAAATGCTTGCCACTAAGCTGGATGACTGAGTTCAGTTTCAGGGACCCATATGGTAGAACCAACTTCCATCAGTTGTCCTTGGACTGCCACTCAAACCCCCTTCCCCACATGCAGCCCAACCCCCATGATAAACAATCAAATACACAAATGGAATAAAAAAAGGTTCCTGCAGAACTATAGACTCCCAGAACAAAAGACTAGGCCACCCTCAGACTTGCTAAGGATTTCTGGTGAGGGTGATGACTGGGCTGAGCCTGGATGATGGAGTAGGATGAAGCCCTGTGAAGCAGAAGGGCACTCCAGGGAGATGAGCAGTGTACATAAAAACAGTGGAAAGTGAAGCCTCCTGCTGCGTGTAGCAAAGGAGTTATACGCTGTTTAGCCTAACTATAGAGTATGATGCTGGGGGAAAGAGGCAGGAGATGGGGCTCTGGGGAGAAGCAGACATCACAGAGTGAGTACCTTATGCAGTTTTACACAGTCTGAACTTTCATTACCCTGAAAACATCAGGAGTAACTGAGTCTTTCTTAGAGCTGGAGCCTCACTTTGTGAGAGATGTTTATTAAATAACTTAGAAAATGAGAATGGAGGGCGGATTTAATGGGCATAAGATGAAAAGCAAAGAGAGTGTGAAGGATGGCATTCCACAGGTCAATTTAAAGATGAGGTTGCTCTAGAGAAGGGAAGAGTGTCAGAGTCTCCTTCCCAGCCAATCCCGTGGGATGGTGTTGGAGACCTGGGTCCAGCTGGTAGTTGACCTGGGTTCCACTTCGTATTGGAAGAATGTCTTTGCTGCTCAACTCTCAGCTTCCCATCTCTGAACGATAAAGTACCTACTTTATGAATGTAAGGAGGTTAGACCAAATAGCATTGGTGAGGAAATGCTAGCAAGGGTGAAGTCATATCCGTAGTCTAAGGAATTCGCGTTTGGCTCCACTTTAAAAGAACAGGAAAAATGAAATCAAAGTGGTTGCCTTTGTCCTAGAGGGAAAGGTTTTGGCAGACCTGTGTGACAGGAGGGGTTGGAGGTGGAGGTAGGCATAGAGGGCTCCTTTTGGAGGGCCCAGTAACTGTCTCTGTAGAATTTTTCCTACAGGTTTTGGGACAGCGGCTTTAATTTGGTGTTGTAGATAGAATCAATTCTGTACAATGCTCTAAACCAGTGATTCTCAACCTGTGGGTCACAAATCCCTTTTGGGAGTCTAATAACCCTTTCACAGAGGTCACATATCAGATATCCTGAGCATCAGATATTTACATTATGATTCCTAACAGTGGTGTCTTAGTTTCTATTGCTATGAAGAGACACCGTGTCCATGGCAGCTCTAACAAAGGAAAACATTTAATTGGGGTTGGCTTACATTTTCAGAGGTGTAGTCTATTATTGTCATGGCAGGAAACATGGCAGCATGCAGGCAGACATGATGCTGGAGAGGTAGCTGAGAGTTCTACATCTTGATCTGCAGGCAGCAGAAGAAGACTGTGTGCCATACTGGGCATAGCTTGAGCATATGAGACCTCAAAGCTCTCACCCAGTTACACACTTCCTCCAACAAGGTTACACTTATTCCAACAAGGCCACACCTCCTAATAGTGCCACTCCCTATTGGCCAAGCATTTGAACATAAGAGTCTATGGAGGCCATACCTATTCAAAACACCACAAGAAGCAAAATTACAGTTATGAAGTAGCAATGAAATCATTTTGTGGTTGGGGAAATCACCACAACATGAGGAACTATATTAAAGGGTCGCAGCATTAGTGATGGCAAGAACCATTGCTCTTGACACTCATGGACTTGGACTTGCAAGAGAAAAATGGTCATCCTCTTACTTACCCTGGACCATGGCTGATGAGAAGAGTCAGGACCACATGCCAGTCAAGGACACTTGGGAAAATATGAAATCCATTGCAGAAAACCTGTACCTGGGTCTCAACCATGAAACAAGTGTTTGCTATGTCACCTTGAACATTCAGAATTGTTCTGTATGAGATTTTCCTCCCCCTGTAAAAAGAGAATAATAAATAACAATAGGCTCAGAGTTGACAGCAAATTGGTCCTAAGACTTCCTATGGATACCCATATCCTAGGATGCTAGAATCTGTTACACAAAATGGTACAGTATTTACAGATAACCTGTGCACACCCTCCCACATTTGTTACAGCAACTCTGCGTTCTTTATGATGCCAATACAATATAAATACCAAGCACACAGCAGTTCCATTGTATTTAAGGGTGATGACAAGAAAAACATCAGCACGTGTTCAGTACAGGGGCATCCTCCCCCTAAATGTTTCCTATCTGTGGCTATTTGAATCCATGGATGCAAAAGCCACAGATGCAGAAGGCTTGCTGGATATCTGGCTTCACATAGCTGTAAAATTCAAGGGAGTTGCAAGGGATAGAAACACCATTAGCTATCAAATGATGTTTAAATGTTGGTTAAGACTTGACTAAGTGAAAGTGAGGCCCTGGGGCAAGGCTGGGTATCCAGAAGGTACTACACACCACAACCCAGCAAGCTTCAAGTCCAGAGAAGGGCGCAATTGCTGCAGCATGTAATTTTCTGCCTGCAAAGCTCATATTGTCTACATAATTGAATGAGAAGAAAGAGATAAGGCTTTGGACCTAGAGTCCAGGCTAGAATGGATGTTTGGAAGAGGGGAGAGGGAGCCTGACAACAGGGGCATGCTCCTCACTTCACGTGGGTCCCCTAAGGAGTCAAAAGTCAGGGGTGGATGCTCACTCTTCTTTGCTCCTTTGCTGGGATAAGAAGCCAGGCTTCTACAGTCTGAGGATTCTTGTCCAGCTCACCACCATCAATCCCTGTATCAGCTCACTGAACCAGGAGTCAGGTCTTGGTGTGACCCAGAGGAGGGATAACTAAGGGGCTGGGCTCACTGGGCACTGTCCTGATTTAACACTGAGGAAAGCTACATTCTGGGCTCATCAGAACGGTTGATCTCCCTAGTTTGGGAAGAGGAAGAACCATAAATCTAGGAATACCAACAATCCCTCCTGAGATCCAACCAAAAAACATTCTCTGAAAACAAGAGGCAGCCGCTTGCCCAGTGAGGCTGAGGAGGAACACATGGCCCCTAGCACTAATGGAACAGCATGGAAAGGGAGAGAAGGATGCAAATGGGGAAGGTGGGAGAGGAAACTGCCTCCCATCTCTCTGCCCCAGCATGTACAGGTTGCCTCAATGGTCTCTGTGAGCAGCCTTTCCCAGCAGCCCACTTCCCAGTGCCAGCCTCCCATCCTTCTCTCCCCCCTGCCAACCCCTAACCTCCCTTCCACTCCACTGCAGCCCTGGAGAAGTCAGGACAGGGACTCAGGAACCAACAACATTCCAGCGGCAAGCCAAAGGCATGGCTGAGACTAGCTGCTTCATGCCATTTCCAGATCACTAACAAATCCAACTGCAAGACAAACAGGCAGCCACACCTGGGAGAGAGAGAGAGAGAGAGAGAGAGAGAGAGAGAGAGAGAGAGAGAGAGAGAGAGAGAGAGAGAGAGAGAGAGAGAGAGAGAGAGAGAGAGACCCTGGAAGCCAGAGGAGAGGCAGGCAGGGAGAAGAGGGGAGAGATACAGCGAGAAAGACAAAGTGAGAGAGAGAGAAAAAAAATCCTACAAGGCGCAGCCAAGCCAATGGCCCAGAATCTCTCCCACTTCTATGGAATCAGAAACACTTATTAATAGCCAGCAAAAGGCAAAGAGGAAGTGTCTCATTGTCTGCTGCTGTCATTCCTCACTCTGACGAGCACTTAAAATGTCAAGACCCCTTTCAGCAGCTATGCACAAGCAATCAGGCCCTCTCATCGGTCACCGGGATTTTGCAGCCACCGCAGCTCAGTCCCCATGACTCCTCTCCACACTGTGTTTGGAGACAAGGCATGTTCAGGCACACAAAACAAGCTATGTCTTAGGAAGGACTCTGCTGAAGGGCCCAGGGAAGCAGGGGAGGGATGGGGCGATGGCCGGGGTGGGGATGTCACCGGCAAGGTCATTGCACAGGGATGTTCGCTGGGCTGAGAGCCTGGGCGTTTCAGAGGCTGTGGGATGAGGGTTTACCTTGAGTGAGAGGGAAGGTAGGAGCTGTCAGCTAACCAGGAAGGAGATTCCATGTGTAACTTTTAGACAACAAAGGATTGCTTTCTGGAGGTGGGCGTTCCAGTTGATCATTGCCTCTTGAGAGCAAAATAAAGCAGAATGGCCTGGAACTGCAGCAGGTGGGATTTAGGTGGGAAAGAAGGAGGGACCTCCTGGTGGATAGAAATAGCTGCAAAGCTGAGATGAGCTGGAAAAAAATCACTTTCGTTGAGGATATTCACCTGTTTTTATGTCACCTGCCACCTAATGTGTTTGAGTGACATCTTGGAAGAGGGAAGCGTGAGGGTCCAGAGTGGGGAATGGTTGACCTTAAGGTTTCCTCCAGCACATGGCATCTCTTACTGCGTGAGTGGTCTACATCTAAAGGAAACAAATGCCACAGTCTGGAGCCAAAACCAAGAAAAATGCATTGCCCTGGGGCTCTGGAGTCTGGACATCCCAAGGTGATTGGAGCACAGGGAAGGTGGCACCTGCATCACACCCCTCCCGAGTTGCCACTGACATTCCTGCAATCTTTGACATCCACTGACTCTGGCCTGATTGGCCTCAATTGTCTCATGACCTTCACCTTCTCGTGTCCTTTCTGTGTTCACTCCTCCCCGCACCCTGCACCCCAACTCACACATGCACACACCTTTTGGCAATACTGAGGATTGAACTCAGGGCCTTATACATGCTAGGCAGGTGCTGTGACACTGAGCTAAAGCCCCTGCCCCAGGGTCCTCCCTTTGAATAAAACACTCCAGGATGACCTCATCTGAATTAATTACCTCTATACAGACCCCATTTCTTTTTGTAACTTGCTTTTTATTTATCCTTTGTGTCCTTCGCATCGCATCTCCCCTCTATGTCTCCAGATCTCACCCACCTCCCACCCCAAATAGGTAAATAAAAATAAAATTTAAAAGAAGAAAGGAGTTGGGGAAGGAAGAAAGGGAGACTCTCATCTCATCGTGGAAGCTGCAGTGTGACACAATGAGTCACAAAGTAAACCCAAAGGGTCATCCGTCTGGTTGGAGCCCCTGGTCTCTGGTCCCTCACTGGGACTCTTCCTGGACATCCTGTTGCTGCCTGTGTCCCGGAGATCCTACATCCCTGGGTCCATTGGACCAGACCTGTTCCCCAGGCCTGTGCTCCAGCAGATCACAGATGGGGTGGATATTGGGGTGGGTCAACACATAACCCTGGCTCTGGGCCTGGGTAGTTGCACGGCTGGTCAGCCCGCCGGCTCTCCCCTGTCTCTGCCACCAGGATGATCTCTTCAGCATTGTCCTGGGTAGCTCACCCCTTGCTTCGATGAGCAAGAGGCAGAGCCAGTTCTCCTGCTTTCAAGTCCTCAGGGTTGGTTCCCCACGCCTACGCCTTCAGGGCTGGCTCTACCATTGCCCAAGGCCTGGTTTAGGAGCCACTCTCCCAAGTGCTACAGCAGATGAGGGCCAGGGCTAGCTCTCCAGCTCTTAGGACCTCAAGGATAGCTCTCCAGCTGCTAGGGTGTTGATGGGGACGGCATCTCCCCCTCAAGCTACCACAGGATGGATGAGTAATGAGGACAGCTCTTTCATGTTCCCTACTTCAGGTCTGGCTTACCCACACCTCTGTCAACAGGGTCAAATCTACTGTGATGCCCAGGAGAGGTGTGGGGTCCATCTTCCCAAGTGCTGCAGCTGGAGGGTCAGCTCCCTCGTCTGTCTCGGGTGGTAAGAGACAAAGGATGGGGGAGGACATATCTCCCCCACCCATACTGTTGCATGACACAATAGTAGTGGGGACAGCTCTCCCATGTTCACAACTTCAGGGCTGGACCACCCACACCTCCACTAACAGGGTTGGCTCTACTGTGCTGCCCAAGAGAGGTACAGCTGGTGGGGGTGTGGCAAGGGCAGCTCTCCTGCTCTTATGACCTCAGGCAGGGCTGGCTCTCCCATCTGCCTCAGGCATTGATGGGCAGAGGAGGGGAGTGGAGAGGGCATCTGTTTCCCACCCATGTCACCAAAGGGCAGATGACGGGTGAGGTTAGGATAGACCCTATTTCTAATTTTAGTGACACAATTCAAACCATAATTCTTAGCAATCAGAAGGAATGAGATTATAAAGAGGATGTCCTAGAAAACCTATTAGTCCTTGTGTCCCTGGCCATACCAAACCACACCCTTATTTGTTTCCATTGAAGGACTTGACCTGTTCCTTAAATCGAAAAAATTTCTAGAGTTCCTGTTTTAGTCCCTTGCAACCACTGCAGGGACTCACAACGGAAAGGATCCTGTGACCACTAGCCACCAAAGTACCCGCTCTTCAGGAAAATTCTCAGAAGGCACACACCTGCTGCTTTCCACTGTAGGCTTCTGGCAAGCCCTGCTGACCTTGCGGATCCATGCACACAGAGGGGGTGTCGTCTACTTGTTTTGCCTTCTGCTGACCTGACTCTGACCCAGGGAATCTGGTTCATGTTCAAAGAAAAAAAATCACCCTGTTGTTCAACATTTTCCATAATGTCAATCCAATTCAATTAGTTAATAGAATCATGAAATGTCAGGCTAGATGGGTAGAGATAACTGGAACTTGCCCCTCATTTATTTTTTAAATAAGAAAGCTGAACTGAGAACAGAAAAGCACACAGCCAATACTCTGTATAGGAACACTTGGGTTTGGAGACTCTGGGCTTGGAAGTCTCAACTAGATAAGCTTTAATTCATTGAATGCCTGCTACGTAACGAGGGCCCTGTGGAGGTTTCAATGAGAATGCCCCCATAGGCTCATTTACTTGATTCCCAGTGCTGGGTTGTTTAGGAAGGATTAGGAGGCATGGTGTTACTGGAGTAGGTTTGTCACTAGGGGTAGGCTTTGTAGTTTCAAAAGCCCACACCAGGCCCCCCCCTCTCTCTCTGTCTCTC